ATCAATTCTTCATACTCTATGCCTCTTTATAACTTTCTCAATTACCTTGCAATAGACCATCATCAGCTAAGAAATTATCACTTAAATTATCATCAGTAGCTTTATTGATAAACTGAAAGCCCAATTGTGTTTCCAAATAAACCTATTCATTGAAAACTTGATATAGCTTCTTAGAGAAATCAAGAAACTTTTGAGTTGTTGAAACTTTTCTTTTCTTTTTTTTGTCAGTTGTAGGGCTTGAACTCTGGGTGCTGTCCCTGTGCTCTTCAGCTCAAAGCAAGTGCTCTACCTCTTGAGCCACAGTGCCACTTCCAGTTTTCTAGTGGTTTATTGGAGATCAGAGTCTCAAGGACTTTTCTGTCCAGGCTGGCTTTGAACTATGATCCTCAGATCTCAGCCTCCTGAGTAGCTAGGATTGCAGGTGTGAGCCACAAGTACCTAGCTTCTTTCTTTCTTAATTTATGCTTGTTACTAAAAGTTTTCAAGAGCCACTTTCCCTGTGACTTTTTCAGACACAAAACTGTGCCAGTAAATACATTTTCTATTCTGCACAGCACCGGTGGCTCACGACTATAATCCTAGCTATTCAAGAGGCTGAGATCTGAGGATCATGGTTCAAAGTCAGCCTGAACAGGAAAGTCTATGAGAATCTTATCTCCAATAAACTACTCAGAAAACAAAACAAAACAGGTGCCATGTCTCAAGTGGTAGAATGCTAGCCTTGAGCAAAAGAAGCTCAGGCACAGAGTCCAGACCCAGGGTGGGCCCAGGCCCAGGAAAAACGAAAATTGTCTATTGAACATATACATGAACATAAAGTACTGCTTTCAACTTAGATTTACGGCAATGTATAAAAATGTGTTATCACTTATTATTTCCTGAGGAAAGAAATACAAAATAATTTTCGTTATCAAGAGAAGAGAAATTTCTACATTTTAGTATCTAGTTCTATTTTAAAACTCAGTGTTTACAGATCATATCCATGGAAGATTATCTTGTTATCTGTTTCAGTAGAAGCTACAGAATATGAATAAAATGACTTCAGAGCTTATGCTCTAATACTTTCACTTCCTATAGAGTTATTTTCTTGATGGACAATGTGGCTCTACATTTTATTTTGCTAGTCCTGTGGCTTGAACCCTGGGCCTGGGCTTTGTCCCTGAGGTTCTTTTGCTCAAGGCTAGTACTCTACCACTTGAGCCCCAGAAGCATTAGTAGGTTTTTCTGACTAGTTTATTGGAGATAAGAGTCTCACGGACTTTGCTTCCCAGGCTGGTTTTGAACCACAATCCTCAGATCTTAGCCTCTGGAGTGACTAGGATTATACACATTTTAATTTGTGTGGAAGTATGCTGACCAAAATTATGACAACACAAATAAGAAGATTAACAAGGATTCTCATTCATGGTGCCATCCAACTACTTTTCAAGTTAAAAATCATTTTAATGATTGTTTAGAAGATTTGGATGCTCTGATCTCATAAATAGGTGTCTTGGTTTTGTCTGTGTGTTCACTTTCCATCACTATCCAAATACCTGACCAAAACAGCTTTAAGGAGAAAATGTTTACTTTGATTCATAGTATCAGTGATTTTAGACCATAATTACCTGGATCCTTTGCTTCCAGGTCCATGGCAATGCAGAAACATCATGATTGAAAGGCTCATTGATATAGAAAGAGCCAAGAAGGAAGGGTCCAGTACTGAGATATATCCTTAATGACCTACCCCTGTAAGCAGATCCTACCTCCTAATAGTGTAAGCACTATTGATTCATCAGTTAATAAAGCCATTGATGAAATTATTGCCCTCATAATTCAGTCTTCGTTCAAGGAAGATCTACCTATTTGGGACCAGCTCCTAAATATATGAACCTTCTGTGGGACATTTCATAACCAATTGACAACAACCTGAAAGGAAGCTGCCAAGCTATCTGCCTAATTTGTGATTTTATTTTTCTCTACACTTTCATTATCTACTGGATAGTGAGAACATGGCGGAGTATTTATTTTCTTACTGAAATTTCTCTTTTCCCTTATTTTCTATTTTATCCATACTTATCCGGTTTTACTATGTATCTCTTTAAGCCATCCTAAGTATTTATCCCAGAATCATTTTAATTAGGAAATCAATTTAATTAGCCTAAAATTAGTGTAGAACTGAAAACATTTATCTGTAGTAAATATACTTGAAAGGTTTTGTTCAGATAAACTAAAGGTCAAACAATCACTTTATGGGCAACTGATACTTTTGTATGTCTATGTTTATCTAGACAGTGAAATGTTTTCATATGTAAAATAATCACAAGGTTCTTAGATTAACAGGATAAAGGGAAATTCATTACAAATATACAGCCTTCACTCAGTCAAAATATGTGGAATGATTAGCCAATAGATTTAACATATAGATTTAAAAATTGTCTTTTAACAATGCAACATATATCCTTCAACAGAGTTCATGAGATTTACAGCTTGAGGAGGTGAGGACTCAGCAAGCAAATATACCTCCAGACCACTCAAGTCTCTTCTATGACAAAAATAACCTAGAAACTACAGAATATTTCTCAACATTTTAATGATTGAAGGTAAAGCTTACATGAACATACATCCTTAAGAAAGTAAATGACCTTATGGAGATTCTGGAGTATACAATCCTTATGTGCTGTGCTTTTAAATTTTCTCCCAATTTACTTGTAAATTCAAATCTGTTTTTCGAATTCACTTCAAGTCTAGCTTAACTCCTTTATGCGCCATTATGACAGCATTCCACATTATATTTATAGAACAATCCCACTATTATCAGTTGAATTGTATTCTTCCAAATTTCATATGATGAATCTCCAATTGGCCATATTTCAGATTGTGACTATGTTTGGACATAAGGTATTTAAGAGGGTAATTTTATTATCATGAAATTATATCATTACCTAATCCAATGTGACTACCATACTCACAAGAAGAGAAACTGATACATAGTCATGTAAACAGGGAAAAACTAATGTCAACACCAGGTTACCTATGCACAAACCAATGAACGAGGCCTCAGTTGAAAACGGTCACCTTGATATTATACTTCTAGCCTGTAGAATTACTTTAGTTTAGGACACTAGTTTGTAGTGCTTTGTTACAGCACTCCTAGAATCTATTATATCTGCTCTGTTTGAAAGCAGCAGAAATATTACCTATGGATATTTCTGAAAGTATGGATGGTTTTCATGAATCCTTCAATTTGTCCCAATATATGCTTTACTATATATCCAATTTTAATCGATAATAAAAATTTGTGGTATTTTAGTTTATTTATGGATACTTATGGTAAGAACTGCTGGAAGTAGGTCATATACATTTTATAGGGAATTAGGTTTTGCAGGCCTTTTTTGATGATGTAAAAAGCAGTAAGGTACTGCTGTAGCCAAATATTTTTCCCCCTGAACACATTTTTTTTATTCATACTAATTTGAGATCATATTATCACAATATACAGCTATTTGCCTACAGATCCTATTTAGTCATGCTCCCCCATGGATAAATAGGGTTATGTAAGTTTTCAGAAATGGAATAAGTTCAGAAATAATACATGAAGCTATTATAAGGTATCTTCAAGAAGGAACTTGTCATTCTACTTTTCATTTTCTCCCTTGTTGTGGGCTAAAGTAAAGGTGTGGTTGTGGTGAGCAAGCTCTACCTGGGAGTACAAAGGCACTGAATATTGAAAAAATGATGTGATGAAAATGATCCCAGAGATTATTTCAAGTAACAAGACTACTTCCCTTACTCTGAACTACTGATTTACATGAGACAAAACGAACCTCTGATTTCTCTGAGTTACTGCAATTTGGGCTTATTTCTTACAATAGCTCAGACTGAACTAAAACATATAATTGTTGTTGATTTAATGGAAAGAAGAAAATAAAATGTAATATATGTTTTAATATAAAGGGAAAAATAAGGCTAATGCATTTTCTTAACCTGTAGTCTCTGGCTTTTTTTTTTTTTTTTACTATAATAACCTCACACAAGATGTTTTCAGAAAACAGTAATGGAATGAGAATAAAAGGCATTTCATCTAGGAAATGTTTATTTGAAACATTATATGAAGCTGTTTATTTGAATAATTTTACAATATAAGATTTTGCCATTACTCATCCTCTAAATGTATATGATAAAAAAGTTATTTCATATGATTTTAAGTTTTAAATAACACAACTAAATTTCCCTAATGTGAATATTCTGGATATTAACACTGAATTAAAAATAAAGCACCAATCTCTTAGGTAGCTAGCTAATGCAGTCATATATAAACATTCATAGATAGGTTACTCTATTTTCTAGTTGGTCTAATGACAGCAAAGTTACAGATGGAAACATCTCTATTTTCTATTTCTTGGTGTCAGCACTATTTCAAATAATCTAGTAATAAATAAACTGTAAAAAAAAAAGCCATGAGTGCTTTGACCTTAAATTCTAGGCAGCCATAAATGTCTGACTGGTTGTTAGAGAAATGGCAGGAACGTACCATCTGAAGATGAAAGGAGGCCCTATGCCCTTTGGTGATGGAAATGATAGTGCCTGCCTAGTAAGATTCCATCTGATTATGACCTTGGCAATGTGCTGAGGAATCTTTCAATCCTGTCCATACCAACTGTTCACAGTCACTGTGTCCTTGCCTACCTTATGGTTGTAGGGTCAATCTAGTTTTAGACAAGCGAGCAGAACATAGTGAATCCTGTTCGGATTGAATTTTTGGCAAATGATGCATGTATTCTTAAGAATGCATGTATAACCTGTTTAATCCATGATTTTCACTAAAGCTTACTTAACCATTGACCTCGTTATGGCCCTAAAGCATAGATTTAAGTGACTGATTAATTTTTAAAGAAAGAGAAAGTACAGCAAGATAATATTTATAATTTGATTATTATTATACATCAGTAGTTCCTTGTAAAATTATACTACCTTGTTTCATATATTGTAAAAAATACCATAAGTGATATAGGTTTTACCTTTCCCCAGGCAACTTCAGAATCTAAATCACTAGGCATTCCTTCAACTGCTGATCTCTTTGTCAATTCCGTATCTGTAGCAGCCAGCCATTCTGTCAAGACATTCATTTCCTTTCTCATCTTACGGGACAATTTCAAGCATTTCTCCAACTGTTGCTTTCTTTCTGTTACCTGAAAGGTAACAGAAATAATAAAATGTAATAAAATGTAATTTGGATTACTTTTCCAGTCAAGTAGGTCCCTTAATTTGAAAATTCACATTCCTGTCATTAAAAATGACTTTCCTTACATGTTCTACATTAGGATAATTATATATTTTGAATATTAATAGTAAATAAAACATTCTTGAGCGTATAAGCTACTGTGTCTGAAAAAAACAGCATTTTCTACCTTTTGTCATGGTAGAGAAAAGGCTGATTGAACTTGTCTGTAATAAATGGAAAATAATATATGAGTAAAATGTATAATATGTAGTCATTTGTCAAAAAGAGAGACAAGGAGGTTCACAATCTATGATATGAAAATGAGGCTTTCTCTTGCCAGTAAAGTATCAAAATGGAGTAAGAATACTCCTCCGGAGGTAAAAAAAAAAAAAGATCATTAAAATATTAATTTAATTCTCAATGCATCTTTAAAATGACTTAACTTTTGCATCAAGTGCCATCAATTAAGATCATTGTTTCCATAAGTTTTATCAAATAAGATCAAAATAATGAACGCAAAACCAAAATTTTCACTCTTTTCAATGTAGAGATGACAACTTGATCCTGTCTGTAGAGTGGGTCTCGGTGTGTATAATCAAATCCCTCAAAAATGAACTTTCCCACACTCTCACATACAAAATGGAAAAATCATATTTCTACATTCCCTTCCCATATGTGCTTATATTGTGTTCAGTTTGTTGTTTGGTTTAATAAAATTCTCAGGATCATTACATAAGTAAAAATCAGTTCATGAGCAAAATTGAAATAAATTTCAGCTCCTCAAAAGTAATTTCCCTGGCTTCATACTTATTTCCATTATATCAGTGTGCTCCATATTTTTTCCCAGAACAAAGAACCATCTCACTAAGTACATTTTATATGTTGAATAAAGCAATGAATAAAAATTTGCAAATCACTAATTACAAAGTACAATTACAAAATATTAGCAGTAGAAAATAGAAAAAGTATTTATACTCTTATGAACTAGTTCCTGTTTTCTTTGTTATGTGTCTTCACTATGTGAAATTATTAAAATATTTTTTCAATTATGGAAGTTAAGAATATGAACATGAGATGTGAATGTTTGACTACAGAGTCAATATGGTGGAGTGTAAGTATATTGAGCTCTGTGATACCCTGAAGAATCCATTCCCTATGACCGTTGGATCAGAGATAGCTCAATTACTCCAGTTTAGGACATTTATCAATTAAGATAACTCTATTTGGCATATAGGGCTATTGTAATGCTAAAATCTGTCAATTTGAGGCAGCGTGATACATTAAGCACAACCATGTCTTATTTTGTTTTTATGATTTTCCTATCAAAAACGCTCAATAAAAATTACACCAAAAGGTATACAACAAAAGTTCTTTTACTACCTGACTGGTAAAGAAAATCTCAAACAGATTTGTGTTTATGGCAAAAAGATCTGAGAAGTAGATTTCAAATCTTTCTCAACTGTGTGTACATTGGCTTAACCAATAATAGCAAAAATAATGAAAACAACACAAGTGCTTGTCTTGACCTTAGTAGATATCACAGAATACATAAGCATCAACACACACTTACATGCGTATAAAACAAAAAGGAAACTCTAGCCACAAGCGTGAAAAAAATAAAAATTCCAAGCACATAAGTAAAACAAATCAAACATGTAGAGATGCCATAAATGCCCTGAAACCATGGTACAAATTCAACATATTCAACAAAATCAGTTATCCCCTTTAATAGAGGTTTGTATAAATTTAGTACATATTTAGGGCTAGCAATATGACTCAAGTGGAGAGCATCTATCTAGCCAAAAAGAAAGAAAGAAAGAGAGAGAGAGAGAGAGAGGAAGAAAGAAAGAAAGAGAGAGAGAAAGACAGAAAGAAAGAAAGACAGAAAGAAAGACAGAAAGAAAGAAAGAAAGAAAGAAAGAAAGAAAGAAAGAAAGAAAGAAAGAAAGAAAGAAAGAAAGAAAGAAAGAAGGAAAAGAAAAGAAAGAAGGAAAAGAAAAGAAAGAAGGAAAGAGAGGGAGGCAGGCAGGCAGGCAAGAAGGCAGGAAGGCAGGAAGGGAAGGAGGGAGGATGAGAGGGAGAGAGAAAGAAAGAAAGGAAGGAAGAAAGGGAAGGAAGGAAGGACTGAAGGGAGGAAGGGAGGGAGGGAGGGAAGGAGAGAGATGAGAAAGGGAGAAGGAAGGAAAGAAGGAAGGAAAGGAGGGAGGGAGGAAGCAAAAATGTTTAGAGTTTGCAAAATCAGTTTTTTTTCCCCTTCTATTTTTTCTCGAAGGGAATTAAAACCATCTGCCGTTTGGACTGCAAGAATTTTATTTGTATATGGGAGAAAAGAAATATTCCTTCTGGTGTGTTTCTATGCATAATTATATTTTAATGCACTATTTGTATAAAGGGATTCGAAATTCAATATTTCAAAAAACTCTATCTTCTCAGAGCTAATGCATTATTGATTTTTATTTATTTTATTTTGTTTTATCTAGCTCAGTAGGTTTAAAAAAAATAGGAGACACTGCCACCTTAAGGAACATTGAGTTTTACACTTTCTCTGTGTGTATGTGGAACAAATAATTTAATAGAGTGCCACCTGCAGTAAAATCCTTCAACAACCATTATTTTATAAACATTTGTAATTTTATTTTGGGGAGTATATGAGTACTGCTACTTATGCATATTTTCACAAAAATGAAAGCATAGAAAAGACCAAAACAGAATTATAGTATTACATCAGGAGTCCCTCAATAAAGTTAATTAGGTTTAAATATGAGAAACTACTCTTTAAAATTCACTGAACAATTAAGTTATTGCCTTTTTAAGAAATGATAAAACTGATGGCTCAGGCCTGCAATCCTAACTATTCAAAGACTGAAATCTGAAGATCATGGTTTAAGGCCAGTCCTGACAGGAAAGTCCATGAAACACTTATCTTCAATTAACAAGTACAAAAGCCTAAAGTGGCGCTGTGATTCAAGTGGAACAGTGCTAGTCCTGAACAAAAATTTCTTAGGGACAGTGTCCAGGCCCTAAATTCAAGCTCCAGGATTGGTTTAAAAAGATAGAAAGAACAAAATTGTGCATTGTAAGAAAGTGCTATGTACTGAATTATACTGCCCCAAATTCTTATGTTGAAACCATAAGCCTTAATGACTATATCTTGAGTCACTGTATCTGATCTTTAAAAAGTAAATAAAGTTAAATAAGTTTGGTAATAAGTGGAGTGAGTTGTTTCTTAATACCTGATGGAAAAGAGTTCATTTGCAAGCCAGAAATGACTATTCCTGGAACAGAATGACGAGTCTTATTCGGGAACAGAATGAACCAAAACACTGATTTTAGACTTGCAGACGGCAGGAATTTTTCTCATTGTTAAAGCCATCCAGACTGTTATGTTTGTTAGTGTAGTCTGAGCTAATCACTACAAAAGGGTAACACAATTAATGGTGGCATGTGAATACTGAAGATGTTTAAAATAGAAGGGCTCCTCTTTTTATACAAAATTGGTGGAATAAAATAGTCTTTGTAGCTTTTACCTTTCTTTTAAAACAAAACCAATGTTGTGGATAGTGTCTTAAAGTTCAATACTTCTTATTAGTGAAGAGTACATATCATAGCATTTTCATGATATGGTATTAGTACATAATCACTTAATCATTAATGTTTCTAAATTAATATTCACTACAAAAATAAATATTGGTCTGTATTTTCTGCATTATTATGCTGTTGAAAAAAGGTTTATTAATATTCTTTCTCTTTGCTTTAATAATATTACTAATGGCTAATTGATTAAAATAAAAATAAGAGCTCAAATATGTACTTTCAGAGATAAAGATGCCTTTATATGATTATGAGTCATTAAATTATTAATAATAAAAAATTGAGTGCTCTACTAGTCTACAAAATGTCACTTTCATTGTTTTAGATTTTAAGATATTTATTTTGTTATTTAATACCAATCTACTCTTACAAATGCAAGAAAAGAAAAAAAGAATAGATAATAATGCATGTTTGAAAATGTAAATTTAGAAAATCATTTTTACCCCTCCAATATTTTTTTAAATTAAGAGAAGATGCATATCAACACATGACTTTAACATTACGGTATGCTAGTGAATTATAAACTGTAAGGTATAAATAGTATAGCTCTCCAGAATTGAACAAGTTGTGCTACATAAAATGAGTATAAAAAATAGGGAAGGACATTATTGATATAGGTCTTGGCAAAAGTACTTTGACTATTACCTCAAGCATGGACAATAATGAAAAAAGTAGACAAAATAAATTATACTATACAAAAGAGCATCTACCTAGTAAAGAAATAACTGAATACAAAGATAATTTGTCATTATTTTAGTCCATTGAATCTCTAAACCTATATAAAATATTTGAGTTGATGGAAATGAGATAATTACCCTAGATGGCACACAGATTTGAAAAAAGGAGATACAAACACGGAAATATCTTTAATCAACAGTGAGATGAAGTTGGTCATGAGTATCTATTCAATGAAATGATACAAAATTTATCATAGAACCATAGGACTAAATTGCTTGTCTATCCTATTAGCCAAGTGTGGTGAATTATGCAAGGTTTGTAATATAAAAAAATAACTTCATGTGCTAACAAAACTAAACCAAACATGATCTTTGTGTGAATTGTATTCAACTTACATAAAAAAGGTTAGTGAGTTTTTAATATTTACCAGTCTTGAAGTCAACCAAAATATATGCATACTCTGAAAAGGAGGAAAATTTAGAAGAAACATTTCTACAACTACCTGGTGGACCAATAGAAACCTCCCTAAGCTTTCCAACTCCATCTACGCTTATGAGCAGAAACTCAATGCTTATGGTGGTTATAAACTCAATTTATATTCATATGAACTACGGAGGCATGGATGTATCTATAATCTATAACATGAAGAGGGAAGGGGAGAATTAGTATAAGGATTTCTGAAACCCTAATTGTACATAATTTACTAACACTCATATGTGCCATTTATATGGAAAGTGGCTAGTATTTTCTGGGGTTTCAAACACACACATACCTTTGCACCCAACTCATTATAATGCAGTTTCAAAGCCGTTACTCTTTCATCAAGTTCTTTAGGATTTTCAGTCTGCTTTTTCTGTACAATTTGACGTCCAGTTTTTATCACCATTTCCACTTCAGACTTCACTTCACTCAGACTTTTATACAAATTCTAAAACAAAATATGAAACAAGCATAATAATCAGCAATAGTATTAAATTAATTTGTACAATTATTAATTAACAAGAATCCTCTTAATTGCTATTGCATGCTTATAGTTTTCTTGTATTATTTTGTAGTTCTGCTCTTATATACTTTTCATATTTCTTTGAATTTTCTGTTGACTTCATATTTCTATTTGGAATTATATAGACATACATGCATTATTTACAGTTATTCTTATTATAGAAGGTGTGCATCATAAGTATTTAGTTTTTTAATGAAGTTCATAAAGATAACTTCTAAATGTTATGTGAATTCTATTTTAAGAGATAGAGTTATATCATTCTACCCATAGCTTAAACGAATTAATTCATCATATAGTAAATATATAGTATTCAGGTCATTCAGGTTGGACATTCACTGTTGTTCTTATAGCCCTTTGATTTGGTGGGATAAAACACCTAATTTCTAGATTATAATTCAATAATTATTTCATTACTAATAAGGATGGAAATAATTTAAATATTGAATCCAATCATATCCATTTATTTTTTATGGTCCTCATTAAAAACCAACATTATTTAAAATTCACATGTACATCAAAATTACAAAGTATACACATATACAAGAGTAGGTAGTCATAACAATCTTATGAGGCAAGTGTCTAACTTTGGAAGATATCTCTCACACAATAAAGTATCATATTTTGCTTTCTGCTCAAGAATGTAATTGTGTATATATAGTGTATATATGCACTGTATATAAATGCACACAAAAGTATGTGTGACTGCATGTAGGTGCATACATGCATACACATATCTAATAATTTACATAATACATAGCTGTTTTGTTAAATGCTGAATCTAAATTATAATTACTTATTTTTACGATGTTAACAATGAACTACACAACTTGTTGGGGAGGGGGGTTGGGAGAAAAAAACTGGAAGAAAATGATGGAAGTGGCACTGTTTATAAAGCAATGTACTCATCACCTGACTCGTGTAACTGTACATCACCTTCGAAATAAAAATAAATAATTTTAAGAAAGAAATAATATTGCTAGAAGGCTACTATCTTTGGAATTAGACAAAAAATGGGTTTGTTTCCTCTTCAGTTTAAACTCAAAACTTAGCCAGGTGCTGGTAGCTCACGCCTGGAATCCTAGTTACTCAGGAGGCTGAGATGTGAGGATAATGGTTCAAAGCCAGCTCGGGCAGGAAAGTCCATGAGACTCTTATCTCCAATTTCTCCAATTATCCACCAGAAACCTGGAAGTGGAGCTGTGGCTCAATGCGGTAGAGTTCTAGCCTTGAGCAAAAGAATTCATAGACATTGCCCAAACCCTGAGTTCAAGCCCATGACTGACACACAGAAAAACAATCAATAATTAAGCATTCTTTAAAGACTGAGGAATTATTTAATTAAGGGTACATGCATGATCTACTTCTCTTTTAATACTCTCTGTGATACTGATGTTAATATTCATTTATTAATACTTTTGAGTCCTGTCTAAGCTTTCCAGATGATTCTCTTATACTTCAATTTACTTCTTAGATTGAATTTAAAAAAATCTGGGTATTTCGTAAAATGGCAATAATTTATTACTATGCTGGGAATCAAATATGTGATTAGATATACTTCCAAACAATTTTCTCTTTAATATAAAAATATTACTGGCTGTACACTTCATTTCATTACACAAGCAAAATATCTATGAAATGAAGCATTACTATTTTTGTGTTCATGTTAATAAATAGACAACATTTTCTCAAAAGCTGAGGCATGATTACACTATATATCACAAAGCATTTTAATAAAAAATGAAAATTTGTAAGGAGAACATTCTGAACCTGGCATATTTCTGTAATCCCATTTACTCTAAAAGTGGAAGAGACTCATGCATTTGAGGACAGTATGCACAAAATCAGACTTCATGTCAAATAGGAAAGCCTGAAACCTGCAAAGAAAAGGTCTAGGATGACTAGCATGTGCAAGAAGAGCTGGTGGGTTCAACTCCCAATATCTTAAAACAAAAGTCTATGTGAAAAGACTATTTAAACTGATGGTAGTATTTAAGCCAGAACCAGAAACAAATTGGCTAGTGCTTTCATGATTCCTTTATATTAATCCAGGTAGGGTTATTTTCAGCTCATAGACTGGTAGATAAGTTTTTTTTGTTGTTTGTTTTTTTTTGGGTCCGGTCGTGGGGCCTGAACTCTGGGCCTGAGCGCTGTCCCTCAGCTCTTCAGCTCAAGGCTAGCACTCTACCATTTGAGCCATAGCGCCACTTCCGGCTTTTTCTGCTTATGTGGTGCTGAGGAATCAAACCCAGGGCCTCATGCATGCAAGGCAAGTACTCTACCACTGAGCCACCTTCCCAGCCCTGGTAGATAAGTTTTATGAGGTAACATTAAACACCTATTCCTAGAAGAGAAAACACAGCTCTCACTTTACATACAACAGTCATGATTTTTGTAAACTTGTTCTATTTTGAATTGGCTTTGTTCAATTTTAGATGTATGTTCCCATGTATTCCTGTGCTTAGTTATCTAATAAAAAATAATAAATACATTTACATGATTGCTAGGAAAAAAATTTCTCCTTCATAATTATGTGACTGAAATGTATCTAAAAGGATCAGGTTTTTATTTATACTATAGTATAGATGTAGAAACTGTACCTACAATACAAAAAAAAACTAAACAAACAACATTGGTTGATAATAAAATTCAGTGTTTACATTTCATTTTATTTCAGTGTTTACCTTGAAGTTTCATAGTCCACTCAGGTTTATAATAATAATATTATTATTATATTTAGGCTTCTAATAATATTATTATATTTATATTATTGTAGTAGCTACCCTCTCATGTCAGTGTTGTTTTCAGAGAATATCTGACTTAATCAATTTCTAAGGATAGAAATATGTAACACTACTCTATATTCCAAAGGCTAATGAGGAATTACGCCATGGATTAGATTTAACATTTCTTGCCCTTTTATTCTATTTGTGTGGATTGATGGCATTTCATTGTATATACAGGACTGATATTTAATTAAAATATATTACACTTTGGAATAAAAGTACTGGAATGCAATCTGCTTTGTGCTTCACAGTTGTTTATCTTTAATTTCTCTCAGATAATCTATAGCCTCCTTAATTGGAGAATTAGGGATGACTTCTGCATCTTCTGTATGCTTCTTAGCTTCCTGTACACCTACTATTTTTGAAATGGGTATTATTGTAGCTACTCTGATGGTTGCTGTCTTGGTACTTCTTATCTGTATTTACATTTAAAATATATTCAAAGTGCCATAAGAATGAACTAAAAGAGCTGATAGAACAACTCAAGTGGTAGTGCATTAGCCTAAAAAGTACAAGTTCCTGAGTTCAAATTCCAAAATAACCAAGGGAAAAAAAATAAAAAGGAGGAGGTAACAAAGGTTGATAGAAAATGTACTCATGACCTTGCTCATGTAACTGTAACTTCTCTGTATAGTATTTATACAATAAAAACATATTTTAAAAAATTAAGCACAGATATTAACAGAATTTTAGATTCAAAATTCCATTTATAGAAAAGGCATCAACTCACTACTACTTTGAAAAAAGTTCTTGTGTCTAAATACATGTGTAATTTCTGTTGTTAATCTTAAAATATATATCATCAATACATGCTGCCAAAATATGTTTCTATTATAAATGAAATGATTAAATACTTCTAACTAAGGAAATTAAAGGAAAGCTGGATCTTTGCCACCACAAATACGTACCACACAATGATTTAGCTGTGACTGTACTACTTCCTGTTCAACGCTCTTTGTTTCCAATGCAGGCAAGTGCATCTTCACTTCATCCAAAATCATCTGACTTTCTTGTAGTCGCTGCTCAAAATTAGCCGGTTTCTGGAATAATCGAAACTTCATGGAGACATCTTGTAATTTTTTCTGTAAAGGCAATGAAAGGAGGTATCAACTTAATTTTGCCTTCTGTAAAATATCTAGGCATATTTTTATTAAGTTTTCCTTTATTTTCATTGTTGCCAGACATATAGCAATGGAAACAAAAGAAAAGAAAATAAACAAATGAAAAGAAAGGAAAACAGCCCTTTGCCCCAATCATCCCATAAAAAACATGTTGAGAAAATTCAGCAATTTTTCTTAATCTGGTATCAAATAAACACCCTACCCTATTTATCTTTAAAATGTACCAAATAAACTGTGGTTCAAAACTAAACTGGGCAGGAAAGTCCATGAAATTCTTATCTCCAATTAATTACCAAAGAAGGAAGGAAGGAAGGAAGGAAGGAAGGAAGGAAGGAAGGAAGGAAGGAAGGAAGGAAGGAAGGAAG